GAAGCAAGTCGAGAATGCGTTTGGTTAAGATCTATAACTCAACACATTCAGCAAACATGAGGTCTTTCTTCGAAAGAGAATATTCCAACAATATTGTATGAAGGCAATGCTGCATGCATAGCTCAATTGAAAAGAGGATATATCAAAGGAGATAGAACAAAACACATTTCACCGAAATTCTTTTTCACTCATGATCTTCAGAAGAATGGTGAAATAGATGTACAACAAGTTCGTTCAAGTGATAATTTGGCTGATCTGTTCACTAAGGCATTACCAACCTCAATATTTGAAAAGCTGATATATAAGATTGGAATGCGTCGTCTTCGAGACATTAAGTGATTTTTCATCAGGGGGAGTAACTACACGCTGCACTCTTTTCCTTAACCAAGGTTTTGTCCCACTGGGTTTTCCTGGTAAGGTTTTTAATGAGGCAGCAAGCAATGCATATTATAAATAACTATGTACATCCCAATATTTTTTTTGTAAGTTTTTAATGAGGCACATTATCTTACATGGACATCCAAGGGGGAGTGTTATGAATAGTTTGTACATTGGATACTACTTTGGATACTCCATTGGATGCTACATTGGATGCTACATTGGATGCCCATGTTGTGAATAACTTAAAGATTAAATTTCCTATTTTATGTCCATCATCTTTACTTTTTATGCCTATAAAAGGCCATGTAATTGCAATGAAAAATTACACAAAAGTGAAAGAAGAAAACACTTCTCCATTCTCTCTATCTCTTCTTGTTTACATTTTACTGCATTGCTTTTATTTTATAACACTACCTAAATATTAGTAGTATATATCATTAGTGTCTCCCAACGCATTTATTTTCAAACTCAAGATTTTAACGTCATTTACCAATGGAACAGCATCTAATAATTTTATTGTTCTTCCACATATGCCTTTATCAAAATCAATCAATTGTATGCCTTAAATTCATATTAGTTACATATTATATTTTATTATTTCAACTTCATTCAAATGTCCGATTAAGCTGGACATGTATATGTTCAAAATACTTAAAATTTTCCATTTCTCTTCAATTTTGTCGCAAAAATACGTTATTTTCGTTGGTTATTTATGGAACCCAACCAAGTTAATCAAGAATGATCGATTTTGAAATAGTGGTCAACAAAAGTTGGAGGGGGGTGTTAAAAATGGGATAGGATATTTTTAAGAAAGGGAAAACAAACAGAAGAACACACGTATGCATTAAATAGAAAAATTGAAGTGGGAAAATAAATGTAAGAAAGTGGAGTAGCACGAAGAGAGAAAAGAGTATATACTTTAGTGGTTGACCTCGTGCTTACTTCAGCCATGAATGTGCTTAACAGACTAAAGTTGTGCATAATCCCCTAACCCTTTCTTTTGGATTCACCGACTTTTCCAATCCCACCCACCCCCTCAATCCATGTTCGTCGTGCACAGAATCGAAAAAGTAAATAATAAATTCCATCTGCTATTTGTACAGAGATAAGTTAGTTTCAATATTTGTTGCTCCCTCCGGTTCAAAATAAGTGATTTTTTGGTTGTTTTCACACATACTAAGAAATTCACCTTTTAACATTAATTAACAATGAAATTAATCATATTAACCTTTACTGTCTCTTCACATAAACACTCCTAACACATACTCCAACACTATTTACTCCAAGGACAATGTAAGGAAAAAATAATTAATTAATTCTTGAAATCTGAAAAAATCACTTATTTTGGATCACAAAAAAAAGCCAAAAATTTATTTATTTTGGACCGGAGGGAGTACTTTGTATGTTAGCTTCTCGAGTTCTTTCAAGTACTATTTATGTTTCTTAATAACTACAAAATATAAATAAATTTTTTGATATTGATAAAGAGGTACAAACGGCTAAGAGGATAGTACAATTTAAAGAAGCGTGTATGGCTCTGACGAGATAATTGGCCAACTGGAACATGAAACAGGGTTTATTTGTGATTGTGATTGTGATTGATGCTCTGAAGTATTAATTAAGTAATTAAAGATGATTACTGAATTTAATACTTCTTTGAGCATAAGAAAAAGGGGGTGCATTAATGTATTCCACCTCCCATACCGTACACGTGGCCCACCAAAATCAATACCAGTTTAGTAGGGGTCCACCTTTTTTTTAGATGATTTTCGCCATTCTCTACAAAAATTGCTAAAGGAGCTCAACTTTGTTGCTTAAGCACTTTGATGTATGTGTCTACCTAATTTGCTCAGTCAGTTTCTAGTGAACTTCTGATTGATTGACTTCTATTTCTTCTTTTTTTAAATTCTAATTTTTTATAAATTATATACATGTGGTAAAAATTACACGGACCGTCCTATTTGGTCGCCCCCATTTAATCTATACCTATTTTTTTTTAAAGTTTTAACTTGTACCTATTTTTTAAACAACTTTAGCCCACTTTCTCCTCCTACTTCTCCTCCTCGAAGTTTTATCTTTTCTTTTTCCAGAAGTAAGGTTCATCCTTATCTGCTTCTTCTTATTTCTCCGATGAGTCCTATAAATTTTCAATCATTTTTTGCTTTTTGCTATAAAGGTTCTATCTTAATTTTGCAACTTAAATCTTATGCACCTTGTGGTTGAAAATGAATTGAGTGGGAAGAGAATAGGAATATCTACTGTTAGCACTAACAAAAATAAACTCTTGTTGTGCAGAATCTATTGGAATGAGGACTGGAGATGATTCTGACCCAACTGGTGTGAAACCGTTCTATGTTGTTGGACTGCTTGAGATAAGTATATAAAGAAGAGAAGTTTTAAAGTTGTCTGTCGTACTTCATCAAATAGTAGCAAATAAAATTAAAGCCATAGCTTTAAGTTACTTCGTGTGGGTACAACATGTCCCCTAGAGCTCTAGAGCTGAAGTTCGTCAGTTACAAAAACAAAAACTTCCGCTCTAGAGCCGAAGTTCGCCAGTTACAAAACAAAAACTTCAGCTCTAGAGCTGAAGTTCGCCAGTTACAAAAACAAAAACTTCAGTAATTACAAACAAAAACTTCAGCAAATAGAGAACAAAACTTCAGCTACTATGCTTAAGTTAAGCAATTACAAACAAAAATTTCAGCACACTTGCTACTTCAGTCTCGTCTACTAGAATGCTAAAATTTTGCATGATTGCCTTTGCTACTTCAGCCTCGTATGTTGAAGTTACGCGAAAAAGTGGGTACGTTTGCAATTTTTTTTGCAAAGCGGACACAAGTTAAAACGTGACCCAAAAAACTGGTATAGATGCAAATCCCCCATACATGTGTGTTTAAACTTTAAAGGGCTTTTTTCACTTTTAGCGAGGGACAAATTATTTACATTCGGTAGTCGAAAAAGTACATAATTTTTGTATAACATACAAAAAATATATATATGTATATATATACTAAAAATATATCTTTTCAGTTATTATTTTAAGAGTGACTATGCAGTTTGATTTTCCTGTTTTTTGTTTGTTTAGTTAGTTGTCCATACTCATTAATTATGTCAGATGTGTCCATCAGAAGTGGTCTTCAAACGCATAGGGTGGCCAAGATTGAAAGATGCTTAAGCCTGTCCTTATTGTTAGGTCACTTTCCGTGTATTTTTCTTGCACTGTAGTGTCACTATTTTTTCCTCCCAAGGGCAGAGAGTTTTTTTGTGTTGAAAATGAATAGTCTGTTACACATTTAAAAAAGATTTTGACAGTCAAATTGGCAAAATAAGCTATAGTACTTACTTGTCATATATCTTGCTTAGTGAAATATCAAGAATATGAAGAGTAGAGGTATATGATAGATAGAATGAGGTAGCTAACCGCTAATGGGAGGAGAGGCAAGTAGGAAAAGCAAAATGGGGTCAGGTCCACTTATCCTACAAATGTTTAGTAGACAAAAAAGAAAAGGGAAGCCTTTCTTCCCATCACTCATTCAATTTGCATACTCAGATCCCACTTTGATAAAATAGGGATTTGCTTTTTTACCATATACCTGACACAGGAAATATCAAGACAGAAGGCAGATTTCTCCTCATTATTACATACCAGTCACATACAGAAGAAACAATATACATACACAAATAGAACCATTTGAGTTGCTCCTCCTTGAAAATCAAATAAAGGGGTTGTGACAAATCATCAAAGCAATCCATTGGTGATTTGGTCCCACTTTGAATTCTACTCAATACAGATCAAGAATGCAGCAGCCTCCAACAGTATACAGATAATATAGCAGGCTCCTCAAGACTCTTATCCAAAAGAATCAGATTTTGTTCAATGAATTATCATAAAAGGTGAATATAAGGGATGTGCTGTGCTGTACTATCCTTTCCCACTACAGAGACTCCTCCAGAGAAAATAGATGAGAAAAATAAGGGCCATTCATAAGCTGGAAAGATAGAAAGGATAAGACTGGTACATGGATCCCACACACACACACACAGTGACAAACTATGAGGGGGGAGAGTGAGTGTGCGAAGGAGAAGGGGGAGAGGGGGGTCCTGCAATTTGTACTTGCACAATGCTTTCCATACATCATTTATGGGTCTCACTATCAAAGCTGATCATTCCACATAAAGAAAAGGCAAAGACAAAGCTCACACTAGCATCTGGTCCATGCATATTTGGCATTTATTACCCATCTCTCACCATTTCTTCTAACAATAACAATAATAAATTCAACAGTCAGGTGCTAAGAACAACACAATCTGGAAAGAACAAATATTTCTAGAAAGCGAGATGGAGAGATCCAACTGCTGTATCCTTCCTGAGCATTAGGCTATCACCAACTAAAAAAGCTTCAAGTCTAAACTAACAATGAAACAAAAATAAAGTAGAGGCCCAGTTGTATGAAAAGATACTACTTGATGATCCAATAACTCGAGCATGCAGTTGTATTCCATGTGTGTCGATTCTGAATCCCCCCATTCTCCAACGAGCTATTTAGAAGTCTCATTGAGCTGCAATGTGATCCTGCCAGCACACGATTTGGAACATCTCCACTTGCTAAATTGAAAGGCCCCATGAATATGAAGTAAAAGAAAATGAAAAGAAAAGATTACTGGTACAACATTTGTCTTCACGATCGCTGCGCTGGAAAAACCAATCTCTGTACTGAACCATATACATTGAACTCCATGTAGACCAGCAGTGAATATAGTATAGATTGCTCACCTCCTTTGCAAGTGGTGCACCATTTGTTTGCTCAAGAAGGAGACTTGCACCTTCTTATGGGTTGCAGCAGACTTCCGGAGAGCATCTCTTCCCAAGAAAATAGTTAAATCATTTCTTAAAGGCCCCAATCAATTACTGCATAAAATTCCGATCTTCCTTCTAAAAACGTCATAGTATTTGCACAAATGGTGGTGCATCAGCCCTTGGCCCATCAAGAGACCGGTACATGTACAATGTATTGACGTACTCACCATTCTCACTCTCTTCCTCATCTTCCCAACCAATCACTTCCACTACTAGGCGGGGCATTTGTCGAGCAATCTCCTGACAACCTTGTAGAGTTGCTCTACAAGATGACAACCAAAGGAACCTCATGTTGTGATAGTGGTGTAAGCCAGAACGCAAAGCCAAATCTCCAAACGGGCAATCCCTGATCTCTAGCTTCTGCAACTTAGGGCAGCCCTCAAGCACATACTTCAGAGCCAAGTCGCTATTCCCAGCAAAAGCAACAGACAAGGTTCGGACCAATTTTCCATATTGTCCAATATAACTAAAAGCCTTGTCAGTCAATAGACCAGATACAGCGAGTCTAGTAAGCTTCTTACAGTTCTTGACAATAGCACCAAAGCCTTCATCCATTGGTTCGCCCGTAACATGGTCAGGCAAGTGTCGACCCATAATGCATAGTCGGAATACAACAAGGTCCGGGCAGTTCTTTGACATAGCTATAACAGCTGCATTTGTCATTCGTTGGCAGAAATATAAGATGGACTGAAGTTTCCTGCAACCCTCAGAAATTGCAAGAAGACCTACTTCAGAAACAGGGGCGTCTGCATCTTCCCGAGCTTCGATAGGGAAAACCCGAATCTCCCGCAGATCCTTACATGTCGCAGCAACTGCCTGGAGTCCTTCATCACATACAGAATCAAATACCTGAAAGATCAAAATTGAGCTTAATATAACAAATATTCAAAAGTACATATCTCTCCAAAAGAATATCATTATCATAGAAAATTAATACCACATACCCACAATACTTGGAGCTTATGGCAGCGGCTGATGACTGATTTGAATTGTTCAGTATTAATGTTGGCAGCATAGCTGAAATTAAGAGAGGTCAGGTTGCAACAAACTGGATAAATTGCAGGCAGATATTCAGGAGCAATTTCCCTGAAACCCGAGAGGCAGACAATGGATTTGCAGGCAGAAAAAGCAGATGCATAATCAGGGTCCTGTTCATCAATGAGTAGCGAGGGGCCAAATGAACCTGTTCCCAAATTGGTAAGCTGTGGAGCTCGAATCATCAACCGATACAGCTGCGTAATAGAAACAAACCGATTCAACCTCAGCCTCTTCAAACTAGGCGACCTGATAACTAGCCTCTCCAATGCCTCAAAATCAATAGGGCATTCAACACAATCAAAGGTCAAAGACTCCAAACACGTCTTGTTCTCAGGGAAGAAGGAAATCCAGTCCACTTCATCGTCCGACACCTCAGACTCTATCAGATCAAGAACTCTAATTTGCCTGCAGTTAGTAATAAACCTTTCATCATCCACAATAAAATCAATCACACAACTAGCACTATATTTCACTAACTGCAAACTCACAAATCCAATACAACAAACACTAGTGTCAAACTCAAAAATCAAAACTTTAATGCTAGTCTCCTCAAGAAATACCCTTAACTTTCAAATGCAGAAACTAAACAGTTAACGATAACCCAATTAACATCATTAATCCAAACACCAGCTCATATGAAGCACAACTCCAAATAAAATAAATATATCTACAATAATTAAACTGCAAACTTTCAATTACATTAAAAATCAAAACTTTACCCAAAAAAGGGGTTTGCGAAGAAACAGATCTAATCCCAATAAAAGTATACTAACCTGCAATCACGGGCTATAATAGCAAGACCACTAGTCCCAAAACCATCACAACAGACAAGAACAAGCTCTTTGAAATGGGGGAAACAACGGGCCAACAAAGACAGATCATCATCAGTTATGGACATGCGTTTCAGGTACAGCTTCTCAAGCCCGCGATAAGCTTCACCCAAAACAGAAGCCCAAGGAGCAAAGTGGGCCCCCCAATCTGGAGGAAGCAAACTGAAATCAGCAAACCTAGGTTTCCCTTTAATGGCCACAGAGGTCACCCTTTTGAAACGGGCCGTAACTCGGCCCGGCGAAACAGCATAACAGTTGCCGATATAGACTTCGGATCTGGTTAGGGCCTCGGCCCGATACCAAGATTTGCTGACGAGGGATGCTGCGTTACGGTCACGGCGATCAGTGAGGAAACAGAGAACGTTTTCTAGCACATTTTCAAGAACTTGATCTGGGTGTGGTGAAAAGTGAAAAATCCCTCCTCCTCCGCCGCCGGCGACGGAGCCATCGGTGACGGCGCAACAGTTGCGGGATTTTGCTGCGCCGCCGGAGAGATCTGAAGGACAAGGTGGACGCTCCTCATCTTCAGACATCTCTTCACTACTACTCATGTGGGGGTGGGTGGGTTTTGAGGGGTTAGATTTATGGGAAGTGTTTCTTCTGAAATCTGAATGAATAATAATTTCTTTATACACAAAAAGAAAATAATAAACCCCCACCCTTGAAGAAATAAAATATATTTTTTCAGATCCAGGAATGGTTGAAGAAGATGAAAAAGAAAGGGTTTTTCTTTTGTTTTTGGTTAGTGATGGTAAGCAAGATTTTTAGAACAGATGGGGTTTTGGGGGGTGGGTGGGGTGGAGATGAAGTGAAAAGAGTGAAGTACTCTTATGTGAC